CACTTACCAAACACAAATCTTAAATTAATATATTCAATATTACGTAAACTCTACTCTCTTCAGCTCTCAATCAATTCAAATTTAGTTTGTCACTTTTTCTATTGTGTTATTAAGAGATAACCGAATGATTGATTGCTGACGCTATTGTAAAACCAATTTCCAACATGCAGTTAAGCTTTAGTCTTGTGATACTGAAAATCGCATATTTGAAATTCTAATTTATGCCACTGCTTTTGGTTAATTAGTGAATAAATACTTACACGAATCCAATGACTTCTATTCCAACAAAACCGGGCATATTTACAAAGAATTTAGATAGCTGTTAAAAATGAACAATAGAAAAACAAAAATGAATGAATGAAATGAAAAGGACGGAAGGGTGGAAGTAATGTCTTATACTAGAAGATGTATTTTTTTGTCTGCAACGGGATACTTTTTTTTATCTGGATGAATGGATGAATAGATCCCTCCCCTAAGAGGCACTATCTTTTTTATGAACCATCATCAACACTAATTGCCAATCACTTATCTTTGTGCAATAACCCCTTTGGCAACTGTCAATATATAGCTGTTGCCGCCTCCTGTTGTGTAAAATGTGATTCACCTAAATCTTCCGATCCTCGCTCTCTTGTCCCCGAAGACGACAAATAACGACTAATGCCATGCAAATGCAAATGGTCTCTCTCAGTCTATATATAAATAGTTGCATCGTATACCTCATCTTCAAACTTAGTTTTCAATCTCTTGTATTTAGGTGTCTTCTCATTTCTCAAATCTTCTGWAAAAGTCTCATTAAGCGTTGCATTCAGCTTTACTTCAACAGGAACTGAAGACAAAACGAGTAAAGTGATGTTAAAAATTGGTGGGGATCTTAATAAGCAATAATCATACACAATTCAATAATGTGATTAGAGTCTTGCAATTCATTCCGTGACAGTTTCCACAGTTTCAAAACTCAACTCCACTCCCCGCACATCAAAGAAGGGGAATTTAAAACATTAGTAATAGACCAGTTTCGAATTCCAAATTACCGCTGTGTTCCTTGATTACAGACTCATTTGCACAGGGTTAGCCTCGTATCAGTGTCTAAGTATTCACAAATACAAGCTACAGAAAGTAAAGAATGCACAACTTCAACGATACGAACATTTTGAAACTCGACGGACCTTGACTGGAACACGTGAATATTCTGCACAAACTCGAGGCTAACCCTGTGCAAATGAGTCTGTAATCAAGAAACACAGCGGTACTGATTTGGAATTCGAAACGGGTCTATTGAGGATAAGTTCAGTGCTCTAGCGTAAATACCTGGAAGTTACATACTTGGAAATTAGAAGGAGGGAAAGAAGGACTGGACTGTTATCAGTCTACAAATTAAAAGCCTCACATTTCTTTCTCATACGCCACCTTTTAATTTCTAAACTTTCAGGTATTTACGCTAGAGTACTGGTCGTATCCTCATTTACTAATGTAAGCATGTTGTTTCAAGTGCAGGATTTTATGACTACAGGAATGTAGTAGGCATGTAGTAGGCATGTTCATGATAGTTATGGCCGTTTCTATGGCTTATTGTATAGGGTCTATTTTACTCGTTTTTTCGATCAACCATTTGGGGCTTTTACTGTAACTGACCTATGACAATCAGTGTGACATTGCCTTCCCCAACAGCATCCTTCATGGACGTCCTACACTTATAGATTCCTGCGTTTTCCTCTTTTACATTTTTGAAGGTCATGTATATGCTTTTGGTCTTCAATGTTTCATTTCGATACACCTCTGCTGTTGGCGGACGTTCGGAAGTCCACTCGACTTTCTCAGGTCTTTTTTCACTTGAACCAATACAGAAGATAACGGCGGTTTCGCCCTTTTTAAATGTGAACTCTTGTCCATCATTGGCAATGACTGGAATATCTTAAATAAAGAGAAATGTAGAATGCGCACCAAAGAATCAAGCAATCAATCAATCTCTGAACCAGACCACCAAAGAACCCACCAACCCACCAACCCACCAACCCACCAACCCACCAACCCACCAACCCA